TAGTCCCAGCTACTCGGGAGGCTGAGGCAGGAGAATTGCTTGAACCCAGGAGGCAGAGGTTGCAGTGAGCCGAGATCGCGCCATTGCACTCCAGCCTGGGTAACAAGAGCGAAACCCCATTTCAAAAAAAAAAAAAATGTCCAAATGGCCAGGCGCAGTGGCTCAGGCCTGTAATCCCAGCACTTTGGGAAGCTGAGGTGCACAGATCACAAGGTGAGGCGTTCGAGACCAGCCTGACCAACATGGTGAAAACCCGTCTCTACTAAAAATATGAAAGAAAAAAAAATTAGCCGAGCATGGCGGCGTACGACTGTAATGCCAGCTACTCAGGATGCTGAGGCAGGAGAATCGCTTGAACCTGGGAGACGGAGGTTGCAGTGAGCCGAGATCGCGCCATTGCACTCCGCACTCCAGCCTGGGCAGTAAGAGTGAAACTCGGTCTCAAAAAAAAAAAAAGTCCAAATGTTCTTTCTTATCCTTAAGTAGCAAATAGATGCGTTATGCAAGCAGACCCAGGTAAGGAAAGAGCAAGTGCATTACAAGTCTCAGCTCACTTCTTAATCAGCTGTAATTCCTTGTGAAGGTTATCTTACCTACTTCAGCCCGTTTTCCTATTCATAAAATACGCTCATGCTGAGGGAAGGGGGGCGACACCGGGAGAGTCCCGGTGCTTTATCCAATCAGTGCCGCTGGTGCGGGAACCGCCCAATCAGGCGCGTATTTGTAGAGGAGGGCGTGGCTTCCGGCATTTGGCGGGGTCTTTGTCTCTCGCTCCCTGCAGAGCTTGGGATCTGTCTCTGCGGTTCTGCGACCTACACCTTGAGATCCACCCCCCCCCCCGTGACTCTGTCACAGCCTCTGTTGCTCTGTGATCTGCAGGTCCTGGGAGACGCACACCTCAGATGCCAGGACATCCTGGAAACTTGGAAAGGGTGAGTGTGCGGGGTTAGACATCCCGAGAGGGGAGAGCAGGCTGTGAAACCAAGAGGACCGGCCTCCCCACAGTCGGCTCCCGGGTCGCGGACCTGATCCCCGCTGGCTCAGCTTCGCCCAGGCCCCTCTGGCCGCAAGATGGCGGCTGGGTCCGCCGCCAAGATCCCCGAGTCCTGCCGGGTCCCAGCGGCGCCGGGTCTGGAGCTCCCTGGGCAGCTCTGCACCCGCAGCCCCGAGTATTTTCCACATTGCTCAGGGATGCCAGGCGAATCTTCAGGACAGAATCCCGACCCGGTGTTTGCGTGGGAGGAACTGCGGCAGGTGGGGCGCCCAATCTCTTTTGTTAAGCATTTTGTTTTAGACGGAGTCTTGCTCTTCGCCCAGGCTGGAGTGCAGTGGCGTGATCACTGCAACCTCCGCCTCTCAGGCTCAAGCGATTCTCGTGCCTCAGCCCCCTGAGAATCTGGGATTAGAGCCTGCACCACCACGCCTGGCTAATTTTTGTATTCTAGTAGAGAAGTGGTTTCGCCATGGTGGAAAGTGGTCTGAAATTCCTGTCCTTACGTGATCCACCTGCCTCGGCCTCCCAAAGTGCGATTATAAGCCTGAGCCATCGCGCCCAGCCTCTTCTCTTAAAAATTAAAGGAAGTCAATGTTAAAACGTTAACCAGTTTATTTGAGCAGTGATTGGTGAAATGGAAAGCACCCAGCCATAGGATATGGCCCGCCTGAGAGGCATAAAGGAAAGGTTTTATAAAGGGCGAGTGAGAAGGCAAACGAAATTCACGAATTGGTTACAGTTATGTAGTCGCCTTATTTGTGTAGTTCAGGTGGAAATTTCCTGGTTATGTTAAAAAAAAAAAAAAAAAGAATTTGTAGTTTTCCCAATAATTCCCTGGCAGCATTTTAATTTTATGTGTATATGACATCTATTATGTATCAGACATTTGGATTACACAGATGAACAGGGTTCAGCATACCTGCCCTGTAGGAGTTTGTAGTTCATAAGTGTGGCTAAATGATTAATTTCTTCTAGAGAATAACACTTGTACATAAAAAGACTTATATTGAGGGCCTGAATGGTTATAGTGATCAGTTGTGCCACTGCCATAGCAGTGGGAAAATCAAGGAGGGCTTTACAGAGATGGTGACATTTGAGTGTTGATCAGGGTTTAATAGAACTTTTTGTGTTAATGCTGCTTCTGCAAAGTATACCTCCCGCAACCCGGCCCAAGACAGAATCTTACTCTGTCACCTAGGCTAGAGTGCAGTGGTACAATCTCAGCTCACCGCAACCTCCGCCTCCCAGGTTCAAACAATTCTCCCACCTCAGCCTCCCAAGTAGCTGGGACTACAGGCATAAGCCACCACGCCTGGCCCCGGAGTAAAAAATTATTTTCAGCCTGGCCAACATGGTGAAATCCCATCTCTACTAAAAATACAAAAAATTAGCGAGGTATTGTGGCATTTGCCTGTAATCTCAGCTACTCAGGAGGCTGAGGCAGGAGAATTGCTTGAACCCGGGAGGCAGAGGTTGCAGTGAGCCGAGAATGTGTCACTGTATTCCAGCCTGGGCAACAGAGCAAGACTCCATTCAAAAAAAACAGGCTGGGCACTGTGGCTCATGCCCGTAATCCCATCACTTTAGGAGGCAGAGGCACTTTGGGAGGCCAAGGTAGGCAGGTCATGAGGTCAAGAGATTGAGACCATCCTGGCCAACATGGTGAAACCCCATCTCTACTAAAATACAAAAAATTAGCCAGGCATGGTGGCGTGCACCTGTAGTCCCAGCTACTCAGGGGGCTGAGGCATGAGAATTGCTCGAACCTGGGAGGTGAAGGTTGCAGCAGTGAGCCAAGATAGCACCACTGCACACCAGCTTGAGTGCTAGAGCAACACTCTATCTCCAAAACCAAAAAACAGGTCTCACTGTATCTAAGCTGGACCTGGTGACCTTTTTGGAGGGAAGGAAAGAGCCCTGGACTGTGACAAGTGAGGAGACCGTAGCTGCACAGCTAGGTAAGTGACAGTGAAGGAAGTAGGTGACCTGACTGAGAGGTCCAAACGTCAAGAAGCCAGATTTTTTTGTCTTTCATTATTTTATTATAATATATATATGCAGATCTGTTTTATGTACAACAATTAATTCTATCAAATAATCAGACCAAGGCATTCTGGTAATTTTCCTTTAAATCAATTCAGGTGAAATTAGATATTTATGCACTTCACGGGCTATCAAAACTTGAGATTTCATTATCAACTTCAGTTCTGAGGCCGTGCACACAATTCAAAATCTAGGTTAAGGTGATAAAAGTGGGCTCAGGCCGGGCGCTGTGGCTTACGCCTGTAATCCTAGCACTTTGGGAGGCTGAGGTGGGTGGATCACCTGAGGTCAGGAGTTCAAGACCAGCCTGGGTATCATGCTGAAACCCCACTTTAAAAAATAATAATAATAATAAAAGTGGGCTCAAAGAAACCACAGGATTCAGAACAATGAAACCGTGTACTTTGTATAAGAGTCACAATGCAAACAGCAAGTATTTTGCATATCTCATAGCTCTTCAGTTCAGAAGCACAGCAGCTTCTGAACATCTAAGGCGATTGCACAGTAGGTGGGCAAATAGCCGGCGTGGGCTCCTGAAGGCTCTGCCCAGAGCTAATTTCTTCTCTGCCACTCCTTTTTTTTGAGACAAATTCTTGCTCTGTTGCCCAGGCTGGAGTACAGTGGCGCAATTTGGGCTCACTGCAACCTCTGAATCCTGAGTTTAAGTGATTCTCATGCCTCAGCCTCCTGAGTAAATGGAATTACAGCTGTGCATCACCATACCCAGCTAATTCTTTATATTTTTTTAGTAGAGATGGGGTTTTGCTATATTGGCCAGGCTGGTCTCGAACTCCTGACCTCACGTGATCCTCCTGCCTCAGGCTCCCAAAGTGCTGGAATTACAGGCATGAGCCACTGCACCTGGCCTCCTTTCCTATCTTCCTCATTTTTTTCTCCCTTTCTGTCTCTTTCTGTGTGTGTCTTTCCTTCTGTGTTTCTCTTCCTTTTTTTTTTTTTTT